ACTTTACCTATTCTAAACCTTAAAAAAAATTTAAAAAAAAACCCACGAGCGGCTCATCTCGGCTTAGCTCAGCTTGGGTTCGGGCTCATCTTTTGACGAGCCCGAGGGCTCACGAGCAGCTTTTTTACGAGCCGACAAGCCACTCGACTGGATTGCCACCTCTACGTTTTGCTCATGGACGAGGGTTTAAATAATGTTTCTTGTCCTACAAAATTCCCATCCCTTCCAAAATCGATTAAAAAGCACATAACTACTGAATCGTATAACATACTACTAGGTTTTGTTGTATAAATTGAAAAGATACGATGTGAACATTCATAATAAGACCCCGGCAAGCATCTAGTCCACTTGCCCCTTATATTAGTAAAACACGTAAAATGTGAGATAACAGTCAAAAGAGATATATGAGAGTTTTTTTCAATTTTGGTCGGATCAAATCAGATCGGATCGGATCGGATCGGATCATAGACTCAGTCTATATGAGGTCGACATCAAAGACATGAAATTAATTAAGAGATGATTTATTTGTTAGATCAGCCATAAAAGTTTTGACATGTACCATGAATCTCATAATTAATTTCTACAGTATATACATACTTACCCTAAAACGAGGCCGTACATATAGTGCTTAACTGGTTTCTAAATGAAACCCGTGTATTATTGTCATTAGTTTATTCTTACTTTATATTGACTTGAAAAGATATGTTCTCATTTTAAAAGGATAACTATTAATATTTAGATTTATAAATTTCTGTCTATATAGTAGACGAAATTCAATTAAATACGAATTATTTCATAAATTTATAAAAAACAATTCATTTTTCATGCATTAGATTTGCAACAATTTGGTTTCTCAATCCTCCATTTCCATATCGTAGAAAAATACACTACAACAAAAAGAGCATACGGCAACGTTTGAAAAATGTTGCCGTAGACCTTTTGCAACGTTTGGACGTGTGTTGCAAATCGAGATGTTGCCTAGAGTAAAAAGATACAGCAACGTTTTTTAAACGTTGCCGTAGGTCTACGACAACGTTTAAAAAACGTTGCCGTATGTTTTTTTTTTTTTTTTGCAATTTATGTAAATTGACCAGCAAAATTGAAAATACTCATTTAGAACAAAATTTAAAATTGCATAAAAATTGATAATTTCATTACAAATTTTTGAATCCATACACTTGAACATTAAAATGTAAATTATGTAATACATCACCACCTAAATAAAAAGGAATATCAAAATGAAATAAAATTTTGCGCCAAACGAAATCAGATATGAAAATACTACCCTAAGAACTTCACAGCAATCTCACTGCATTTAAAAGAACTTGCATTAGCTGCTTTTCATCACCAATGACATACTCCGGCAAATCTGAAGACAAACTCAATGTACTGGACAACTTCAC